ATATATATGTACCATCTTTTTATCATTATGAAAACAAATTTAGGATAAAGATCTTGTTGATTACCATATTTTTACTCTTGATTAGTTGAAAATAGAATTTAATAGTTTTATAATCAGAAGTATCTATACGTATTTATATTGGATAATATATACATTATGGATTCTACACAATTTCATATTTATTTTAACATTATATCGTTTATAAAGTAATCTCTTTTTGCTCACACTTTGCTAAGAACGTCAGTTGATATGCCACGCAAAAGCCTCGGAAATTTTATCGCGCGACGGCGATGAACTTTTCCCACGTCGTCGTCGATGGATTATAATTTTTCGCGAGGTCGACTGATAGGGCAATTATATCGCCGCATTGCAAAATAATTTCCGGCCAATCGAGACGGCCGGTAGACGCGTATGAGAATCATTGCAGGGCCGCTTCGACAAGCGCAGCTGTAAATCGAAGAAGCTGTCTGGCTTCTAATTTTATTGCGCGACAGAATGAGAATGAATCGACGGGCTACAGCCGCCGAGCCCGTCGGATCTTGCCTCTCGTAAAGGGCAATATTAAAATATCGAATCTTCAGATCGCGATCATTCACATTCGTACAGCTTTGCGTGCGATACATCGCTCTGCCATAAAAGAAGTTCGTTATGTTTCGGATATTCATGACGTTCGCCATGGAAAGCAGATCTATGCAACGTTAATAGATTACATTAGAGAGATAATGTCTTTTATAATTCTCGAATAATATCTGAAAGCTGTCAATAAGATATTATGCGTTTAGATCAATAAAAGGTAGAAATAAACTTTGCCGCGTCATATTCAGAAACATCGGTTAAATATACGTAACCAAGCGATAAAAGCCATGAAAGTAACATCTCCTGCCCTCAGTCTTATCGAGATTCGAGACGTATTTAATGAAAAGAACGCGTATCGTTTTCTCGGTCTACTACACGGCGTCTGACGTGATATATAACCGATTATTTTATTTAGAAGCTTTATAAAAATTATAAAAGCTCCATTGCCTCATTTATATCTCATCGTCATTTCCCCATTTGAAAACGATCTGCCGGAACGGATCTTTCGCCGATAAATGAGAATGAAAGACAAATATGCGAACAACCGCGGACGCCCTTGATCGATCGTCGCTTACGCGAGAATCAGACGTGGCGAGAATTCTCGCCGACGAGGCGAATCGATTCGACACCTTGAATTCGCGATGCAACGCATCCGGTGTTGCGCGATCCAAAATCGACTCGAT